ATGGAGAAGATAGCCATCATACATGACGTGCACCTATCATCACTCTCATAGCGCTATAGAGGCGGGAGATCTATTCACGCAGTCAATGCTGCTCGCTCAAAACTTACAGAGGAGGAGCAGATCATTCTCAAGACCTTCATCAAGGCCTCCGCATGCCGCCTCCTACCACTCACACTGGAACTCATCTCCGAGAAAGCAAATGCAATAATCAAAGCACGTCCTCGCTCCCCAGATGCAGACCCTCCCGAAGTGGTCGGCCATAACTGGGCCTCACGCTTTATCAAACGCAATGGCGATGAACTGAAAGCTTATACAGCTTTGGACCTTGACAGCACTCATGCAAGATCTCTCAATCCCACCAACCTCACTGATTATTTTGCTGTAGTGAAAGAGGTCAAGGAAGTTCGCAACATCAAGCCCAAGAACGAGCATGCGACAGATGAAGCCTGTGTCATACTCAATAGAGGTGGAGGGCTCAAGCGTGTCATTGGTCCTATTGGCTTGAAAACTCAATATTGTATACAAGACAGCAGTCGCGAGAGCCTCACATTCATGCCCATGATTTGCACCAATGGAACTGTCTCCCTCCCGCCCACAATAATCTTCCGTGGCTCTTGCTTTCAAGCTCGTTGGAAGGACCATAACAAACTAAACTGCTTGTGAGTGCATGCGATAACTTCAAGTTGACGTGTCTCATGATTGGTTTAGTATTGCTCTTTTGCCAAAAGGGTGTATGGATAGCAAGCTCGCCCAGGGCAGGATGGCCAAATTTGAGCTCGCCACTCGCCCAGAGGATCCTTCTGACTGGTGAGTTCTCTATCTCGATTCCCACAGCTGCCATATCTCGCTCTGGATGCTCAACTTTGCATATGAGCACGATATAGAGATGATTGGCTATGTACCCCACTCAACTCAGTGGCTGCAGGGCCTTGACGTGGTCCTATTCAGCTGCTTCAAGCAGCGATACAAGGAAGCACGGAACACATGGGAGCATGATCACGACCAGGTCGATAAGCTGGCATTTTTGGAGCTTATTAAGGATGTCTTTAAGTCATCATTCACACGGGACAACATCCTGTCTGCCTTTCGCACTACAGGCATCACAGGTCATTCCTTCATGTGCAACAGCAGCCAGCAAAGAGACATCTCACGCAGCCATATTTCTCATTCCCTATGCTCCTGCCGTATGTGGGGCTATATTGCTCATTCAGGTGATTGCACGCCCAACCGAGAACTACACTCTCGTCGGATCTGCCACCTCGACTCCTGATGAACATGCCCATGGCTCTAAGCATTTGTCATTGGACGTTCCATCGCCACCTTCCACACTGACTCCTGAACCCGGCCGACCTTGTGACCACTCGACCAGTGCGCCTCGGACCCCCACACAGCAGATCTGGCGCCCGTGCTCTGCACACCACAGAAGAAGCTTGCAGCAGAGAGGACAGTCAAGTTGCTGCAAAAAACGGAGGCTGAGTTCATCACTCGCCGCGCCAATGGGATGACTTCAGCCAATGTGCTTTCCAACATGATCTTCACACAGATCCAACAAACACCGAGAAAGATGCGCGAGCTCTTGAGCCGAGAACCAGCCCGGACGGCCACTTGTCAGGAGTTGGTGGAGGAGAATGCGGCCCTACGGGAACAGCTGGCGCTCGCGGACACACAAATCGATCAGGCGTGGCGCATCATCAAGGGCAACAATGCCAGCATGGCAATTGTTCAACTGGGCTCTAACCGGATGGCCCGAAAGCTGCACTGGAAGGAGGGAAAGAAGAGTGAGCAGTTGCACTTGCTCTCAATCAAAACTGGGCAATATCTCATGGGCCCGCATTCTGCACAGCAATCACGGCCGATGCCGAGAGGAAAAAGGCCAAGGCTGTAGAGGATAAGAAGAAGCGAGAGAGAAAGGCAGGGTAGAAGGCCGAGGCAGAGTGGCAGAAAGAGGCAATGACACAGCGACAGGAGTAGCGTGATTGTGATATCGCTGAGTGGGAAGTTGCAGTCGAGGAAGCTAAACGAGACGGTGAACACGTACCAAAGAAACCCAGAATGCCACCACGAGAGTGACCTCCGGACTGCTTCGTCAGCCGTACACCCTCACGATCTGCTTCGGATGCCTCTCACGAGGATGTTGAGTTGGCATTGGGCGAAGATGGTGGTGGTGTGAGCGGCAAAGTCTCCAATTTGACTCCACTGGACTCGGAGATGGAGATAGATAAGTAGTATTGGCTTGAATATACTTGTATAGATGATAGAGGTACTTCTAGTATAGTTTAATAGTGAATTGGTATGGTGGTTGAGGACAAAAACAGCGGGAATCCGTGCAACACGTGCATGACGCGGACCTTCCAAGTAATAGGTTGTGGCAAAACCCGTATACTCTGTATCTCTTTCAGCACTCAACATTTTACCAAACCGTTTTATACACACATTTTCAGCATCCCTCAGGTTAGTGATTAGAGCTTGTTTCATTGAAATTGGTATTCATTCAAATATTATAAATAATTTCCTTGTGGTCTTTCAAGTGATGGGGAAAACCCATAGTTTATTATTGAAAAAGCTGAACAATTGGAGACAAGTACAGTTACCATTGTTGCAGTATAAGTTTTCTGGCCCTCCCGCATCTATGTGGACGTGGACGTAGATGGCTATTGTCACGGCATTGCTACCGGGCTTGGCCCGACGTCACAGTCGAGCACGAGTTCTCAGGCTGTGGACTCAGACCATTACCACCACCACCGTCGTGGGCTGCATGGTTGCCGGCGGTGGCGAGCCCACCACAATGCCCTCCTCACTGTCTGCCCTAGCATGGGCCCTATGTAGTCCCTGTGGTCGCGTTAACCTGTATTTAAAGTACTTAGCACTATCAATATCATCCTTTACTTGCAGCTTATCACTGTCACAATGTCGACTGCCGAGCACCACCACCCTCTCTCAGTGATTCTTCCAGTCAATAACTGCAGAAGGACTACCTGTAATGGGACTACGAAGGTTGTACTCTGTTATGGGAAGGGAAGTCATCCAGAAAGGGCTGAGTATTGGTACGAGACTGTACGTCGCATGCTCTAGTCCATGGCAAATCACGACTTACCATACTCGACAGTGCTACCTTGACCCCAGTCATTTCTATTGCTGGCGAACCGAACTCCCCGCCGTTCCATGCAATCAAGATGGTCACGTACGCGTCGAGACAATCCCGGCCCCCGTCACACTGGCACTCCCCCCTACACAACAACTATCGCAACCTTTGCTATTAGGACCAGCACCCACCCAACTCCCGCTGCCTTCAGGGGCATGTAAACCTCTCGCCAACACGCCTTGCAATGGGCCACTCTGTGCGACCAAGGAGCGACCTCCACACCTGGTCGTTAGCTGCACCTTCTTTCTATGTATGCCGTGCTGCAAACATCTTGCAGAGTGGCAGCCTGACCGTCTTGCCTGCTCGCTTTCCACACACCGAAAGGGCCTACCGGCAGTTTCTCTGTCACAGACCACATTGCAGGCACCATCTCAGGGTACTTCACATGGTAGCGAACATACGGCACCAGCCATTGCCGCCCGGGCTGGAGACCAGAGCAGTCTGGTTCTCACCGGAAAAGATTCCTTGACTGTATGACTCATCTCCTGTTCGTATGACCCGGCCCGGTCTGACTCACCTCCACTCAGTCAGTGGAGGCCGGGCGGCTCACTAAGCATGTTCTCACCAAGGCTATGCATGACTTGGACTACAATATAAGACTGTTTCTTATGTATCTGTATTCTCTAGTTCATCCATCTTGCTACCCAACTAGATGTCCTCTTTATATTCTTGTCTTAAACTCATCATTGCTGCATGACCCGGAGATATCTGTCCTAGCAAGCCCCAAGCATTTGGACAAACTCTCTCTACTCTGTCTTATGCAGTATTGACGCACATTGGCCAGTGCCTAACATCTATTCGCCGACTTCTCTTCAAACCACCTGAACCTTGGACAAGAGCCTGTATTCCTAGGTGCCAACCCAGTCATCAAGACCCATGGAAAGCTCTATCATCTTGATCACCTGCACAAGGTCAGTCACTACAACCACATCTACATCCCAATTAAGTGCACCTCACACGCCCTCAACTCCCGAATGTTTTGGATGTTCATCTTGATCAAGAACATCGGAACCGGACCTGACAGTTGGCTCACCCACTGGATTACACTCGACTCCATTACCATTAGCACTGGCAAACCCTTGGTTGGCTGGAACACCCGCCTCCATCCTACAGACAACCAGATCAACACCCGCTACCAGTGCACTCGAGACCACCGCTTCAGACCCCTACCCCGCCTATATAAGAATGTACGCAACCCCTTCCGGACTTCATACAACTCAAGATGCTTCACATTCCATTCTGATCAACGCTTCGACCCGCTCTGCTGTACATTGTAATGCAACCAGAACACTCAGGAGTATTCAGTAACAAGGGAAGGCTTTACTGTTGGATAGCAGGAGACAAAGCATGTCATTACCTTTCTCCCAATACAAACAATAACCCAGCACTTCCATACCTCTTCCACCCTCTCCCAGCCAAGAACACACCCTAAGACCCAACCCTCGACCAACTCGACTTCTCCGCCATTAAGACTGCCACCGGCTACAAAGATATATCCCGCACCACCTCACCTCATCCTGATCCCTTCACAGCACAACTCCCAGCTCTGCTTATCCTCGCCTCCTCTCACACCACATCTTGCTCTTCACAGATGGCTTCAATCATAAACTTGTCCCATGGCTTGGTTGTTGGTGCGACCAGATACATCAATTATATACAGAACCCATATCCGCGCAGGCAGCACCCACACCCAGTTCCTCCGCAGACGCAGCAACAAATCTTAACTATGACGCCACCTGATACTACGTCTAGTACCACCTTGCAGCAACCACCCCCTCAGACGCAACAGCAACAGCAATAATAATACGCAAACTCGGCCACTAGCGGAGGCGAAGAGAGCGACTGTAGTAGCTCTACAATGTCCTTCTACTGGTGCACCAACCTGGGCAAGTTTCGTCACCCCATGGGACCTCCTCCCATAGGAAATGGGTATTACAACCGGAGCGACCTCAGACATCCAGAGCGCAACTCCTGTAGCATCAAGCTTCTGCTTTCCCCACCGTTCATGGATCAGGAAGTGGATCTGGAGGCCTACATCACGTGCGTCTCCTTCTTCATCCAGCTTCATATAGTGCGGTTTAGGACCAATGCTGATCAAGTGTACTTCTTCCTGCAAGGGTGCAGCAGTCCGGAAAGCCTTCTCTGGGCGGTGCAGATCATGAAGGCACACCTCAACGAGCGCGAGCGTTGGGAGTGCTTCCCAGAGTACGCGACCATCACGCAGGTGGTCAAGCTCTTCCGCCTCCGCTTTGGTGTCCTCGACAAGCAGCGTGCGGCACAGGCTAAGTTTGAGGCACTCAAGTAGGGCTCGCAGCCTGTGCGCTCTTACATTGCGGCATTTGACCGGCTTGAGCAAGACACCAGTTACAATGACGCAGCCTTTGTTCAGGCGTTCAGGCGTGGCCTTGACCCGGCCCTGCACAAGAAGATTGCAGACATGGCAGAGCCACCTCATACGATCTACGGCTGGAAGGAGGTCACACTTGACAAGGATGCCTACCATCGCGCTACACAAGAAGAAGACAAGGTCTGGACTGACAAGTCCGCACAGTCGTTGGGCACTCGCGCAGAGGGACCTTCCTCTAGCCAAGTGCCTGCACATGTCCAGGCTGCTTTTACATGCCTAATGGAGGACAAGCGCGCAGACCTTCATCACTGCAGGGTGTGCTTCTACTACCGCAAGGCCGGTAACAGGTTCTTCGTGTGTCCAGAACTTCTGGAGGAGAAAGTAAAGGAGAAGGAGTAGATTGGGGTATTTGCAATGCTGACCACCCAGCTCAAAAACATGGGAAAAGAGGAACGGGCTCAGGCGCTGGAGGCCCTGAAGGATTTTTAGAACACTCTGCCACCGCATCGTCATGCAGGGCTCAATCGTCTTGGACTGGAGAATGTACTACTACTGCTTGTGAGCGCTCGTACCCTGAGTGCATCTATATTTCTGCTATCAAAAATGTGCAGAAACCCTCGATTGTATTTGCCGCCCAGCTAGTAGGACAAGTCACCAGACGTAAAATTGATGCCTCTGCTTTACAAGACAGTGGAGCAGAAGGCATTCTGGTTAATCACCACTTTGCCAAGACTCAAGGTCTCACTCTCTCCTCACTTCCGCGCCCCATTCCAGTCCGCAACGTTCATGGCTCTGATAATGGAATGGGCCCCATCCAGTTTACCACCACTCAGACACTTCATCTCTCCTCCAGAACCAGCAATCATACTATAGAGAGTAGGTCGAGCTGTTGGTAGTAGACATCGGCGATCACGACATTATCCTTGAAATGGACTGGCTTGACATGCACAACCCAGAGGTTGATTAGTCACAGGACTGAGTAGACATAACATACTGCCCGCTAGAGTGTGTCTTGATCAATCCGCCGGTGACAAATCTTCACACTATGGCAAGTCTCAAGGTCCACGGCATACAGCTTGAAGAAGTGGTTGATAAGGGCGAGGTTGCACTCCGCTCATGGCAGCAGCAGTGCGCCCTTCCCCCGAAACACCTGTTCATCCTCGATACTGGTGACAATGTGCCCTCTCTGTTGTCCATCCCCTCACCACGCCAATACGGCATCTTTATAGTGGAGGTTGATGATGAGGAGGATAGGTGTCTGCATCAAGAACTTTGACAGTGGTTGACCAACACCGCACTTTCCCTGATGCAATTGACCCTGACTCTCTCACCCCCACTTCATGTCTCTTGGCCACCGTACAGCTGGACAACAACTATGCAGATGAGGAAGACTTGGTGATCAAACATGCCATGCCTATATCTGTGGACTGGGTGATCCGTGGCCTGGAACTTGCGTGCGTTATCCCGGACATCAAATACTGTACCTTTAAACCAGGCGACATGCTCATGTACATGACAGAGTATACTGAAGACATAGAAGAAGAAGAGGATCACACTGTCAATCTTTGCACTGCGTTCACCCACTCTCAGAAACTCACAGAGAAACACGCATCTGGAGCTTCAGCTAAGTCTATTGAAGAACTCATCCTGGAACAATATCAATGCTACCTGAAGGTACATGGCATTTTACATCCCTCCAAGTCACCCATGGCGAGTCCATTCTTCTTTGTGAAAAAGAAAGACGGCACTCATCAACCTGGTTAGGACTACCGCATCTTCAACACCAGCACAGCCAAGAACACCTATCTGTTACCACTCATCAGTGACATTGTGGACTGGCTCATGGGCACCAAGATCTTCTCCAAGATGGACATGCCTTGGGGCTACAACAACATTCGTATCACAGCAGAATGCAAAAAAACGTTCCGACTCGCGTTCGAAAGTGAGCTCCAAAAGTTGTTTACGCGCGGTCTGCTTCGCCCAATCGTCAGCGCCCGGTGACCGGGCCGAAACACGCGCGCGATCTCGCTGTATCCTCTCCACCTCCCACCTTCCCCTCTCGACCCCGGAAAAGTACCTGCAGATGTGCGG